CTTTGCTTTGATTAACGTTTCAGCACAAAATTCGTTGAGTGCATTAAATAGTAAAAGTTCTAGTTCGTCCTCAATCGTAGCGAGTTGGAATTTCTTAATCACGTGACCAAAACAGCGCAAAAGTTGAAGTGAAGATTTCAAGTCTCTGAATATGAGTTGTTCTATATACTCCTTAATAGATCGACCATTTTGTCTTTTTGCCAGTTGAAAATATACGCACTTCCCACCATACTTTCGAATGTAAACAAACTCGGCCGCTCTGCGAAGTCTCTTATTGGCATCGGCCACACTCAGCAGATCGCCCAATTCCAAATGCTCGAAGCACTCTTCGAGGCAAATCAGATTCATGTCCGTGATTTTCATCTTTTGTCGATCGACCTGCGAGGAAAAATTGAAAATAAATCAATAAAAAAAAGTTTTGAATGTTCTCTCGCGAGATCAGTTTCTTCCTTTCTTTGTTAATTTTTGCAGATTTCGTACGATATTGAAATGATTTTTTTTCTTATCACACACAAAATTGTTTCGTAAATGCAATTCGTTCTGTTAGTTGGTGCAGACCGTTTGGAAAGAACTGGTTATGACTTTGACAACCAAATTACAACTGACTCAAATACCCACTGTTTCGTCTCTTATATTTGCGTATCATAAGCTATTATCGGCAATAACCGTACGACAGAGACGCCAAATTAAGTCACTTTTGAGAAAAGCAACACACACACAAGCCGTTGTTTAAGGGATTGGTGCATTGTGTTTCTTGGAAGGATGATGGTCACAAATAGTTAGAACGATACAAACATAGGCATTCAGCCGAAAAATACAGCGATTTGGACACAATCTACCGTTTAGAATTTCTAAAAATGTTTTAATCTTCACCGAAATTCATAATCTTTGGCTTATTCTCGATGGTTGAAATCACTATGCTGGGGTGATGCTTTATTTAAAGCATTCTTCGATGACCTCGAGTGATGAGTCGAAATTAGTAAAAGTAAAAGTTTGTTTTGACTGGCTCATGAAAAAATGCTCCAAAGAAGGAATTATGAAGAATATTTATAGGCTTTTGTCTGCCGCCATTCTGACGCTATGTCCACATTCAGTTTTAGCCTGCACTTCATTCGGCTTATTTATAAAGTCAATCGCTGAATAATAGTTAATTCTTGTCCTTGAATAAAACTAAAATCGGGCAAAAAATTTGTTTTAATTTGTTTTTCCAGGAAATGTTGACCAAAAATGATGACTTCTTCTGAGTTGCGTTCAAATCAAAGGGATATTGCAACTTTTTTGACCAGAAAAAACGCCATCTTACGTCGTGCCCGTAAATTATTTCACTGTACATTTAGATGGTAGAGCTTGAACAAAAGTTCGACACTATGCATAAACTTGGAAAGAGCTTGACAAACTTGATGAAATACAAATATTTTATGGTCGTTGCAATACCCCTATGGTTCAAATCACTCGACTTCGTTGGTTCGGGCATTCTTATTAAGCTAGCGAACCATATAATACGATGTATATTATAACTGATCAAAGTATCTTTAACCAGAACAAAGTCCTTCCCTGCTTCAGTTTGTTGTCTATGTACACGATTTTCGATACCTACCTCTTGCAACAGCTCATTTGCTAATAAAACTGGTGATCCTGTCTATATTCTTCAAAACTTGATCAGCATTTGTAACTTCTAAATCATAGTTGGCTCTTGCTCTTTCCACCGCAAAAATTTCTTCGTCGAATTGTTGATTCAATATATCATATTCTTCTGTCATTGCATTTAGATTCTCTTTGATTTTTTTTCAAAAGTTTCTTATCGAGATGATGATTCATTCACTTTCTAAATGAAGAAATAAATTCGTCACTTGTATGCTTAAACTCAATTATCGCATAAATTTTACGAATGATCGTTCAATTTTCATCCGATTGAGCTCATTTATTCGAATATTTTGACGTAATGTTTCACGCGGATTTAACTGCAAATAACACAAAATTAAAAATTTCGATGAAAAAATACACAGAAGTCTTAGTTTTCCTGTTTTTGTAATCGCAATTTTTGCATTTTCCATTGATCTATTACTTTCTGACTTAGTTTTTCTGCTGAAGTTTCATTCGCAAATGACTCGATCATTATTCAGCATCGAATCTAATAAACAAGTTTAATTCTTTTTCAGTCAAGTATCGCTCGTCTAATTTGCACAAAATGCATTTGTTTTGAACAGTTTCTGATATATTCGATGTTAAAAAATCCAATGTATTGGATCCGATTTGGAATTGATGTGCATATTTCTTACTTTTGACGCGTATCACTCACAGTTGTTTACACTCTCATTCTCGCTCACTCTATGAAAGAGTACAATTTCATTTGCATTTTTGAATCTTATCCCATTGAATTTTGTTCCTCTTTCTAGTCTTTGGAATGTTGAATCAGGTGAATGTATTCGTGTTCTTGAGGGGCACACACATTGGATCCAGAACGAGAAGACAACAAACTGTGTTTGGGTACAATGGAGGTATGTTAAAGATACGATTGAAAAACTCCAAATTTTATCGCATCTGAATCCAAAATCAAACGCATTTATTTTGTATTCATAATCAATTTTATTCAGGAATAAATGATAAATTTGATTTATAATCGACCTAAAATTCAAATTGTACCGGTTTCGTTTATTTATAGTGTGTTTTTCTTTATTTTTTTCTGTGGGAGTTCCTTAAAACAGTAATAGTTTCATGATTTGGTTATTTTGGATTTATCATCGATTTATTTTTCTTCTCAGCGCTGTTCTACAGTTGATCAAGGGCGATACGTTTTGGTTTGTTTGTTTCCAGCGCTCATTGGAGTATAGATAATGGGGATTTGTCCTACAATTGTATATAAATATCTATCGAGTCACTTTAACACCGTGTGTCTGTGTTCATTCGCGGGGAAAAATAGAAAGAATCTCACTTTGACATCTCATTCCATTCATTGAGGCTTTGTCTTTGGATATGATGAATGAATCGGATTATCTAGGCTATTACAGGTTCAATAATTATTGAATTATAAATAAAAAGTTCTTCTCTCTTTTGGCTTTTTATACACAACATTAAATATATGCAACAAACAAAATCGGCTCATTCATTCATCGCCCATTCTTAAGCAATCATTGGCCAATTTTGATATTCAAAATGCCGTCTTCAATCAAAGCGGAAAATTGTATTTAGTCTGAACTTATCCGATTGAATTTTCATGGTTCAGACATTGTGACTGCGGTTGACAAAGATCTCATTCGAATGTCCCTTTTCTTGACTGCGTAAGGGAATATGGCTGTTCAATTTCAATGGAAATTCTAAACGATGCTGGCTCACTATGGGATCCCAATAGCAAGTCTGTTCCAGAAACTGCCTGGTCTAGACATTGCCTAGATCGTAATCTCGAACAAATCTCCTAGTAGATTCTTAATCAGACGAGTTTCATTCCAAAACCACGCAGTTTGCAGTCGTCATGGTCGCCTCGTCACATGCTGCTCATCCACGACAAAAGAACAAATCAAATGAACTTCCTTATTTTTCTTTTATTCAAGTCATCATTTCATAAAAAATGGTCTTTCATTCACTCCAATGTTCGTCGCTACATGCAAACACTTAGCATAAATCAATCATAAAATCCCAATATTTACATAAGTTATAAGTTGAAATATATATTTAATCCCAATTGGAGAGCATAAAGTATACAATATTTTCTTATTTCTTTTTATTTATTGAGCAGAGCGAAGGAATAATTATTATTTTTCATGAAGAAGCCAAAAACAAAAAAATTCGGCGAGAAGCCTATATAGATGGCCAATTTATCGTTACAGAGTGGATATAAGTTAATAATAATAGGATTTTTTTTACACAACAGATTGAACAACGGTGACAAAACACTGTTCACTTTTTTTTATACAAAATATATTTTTTGGTTGAATAGTTTTTTTTTTTTGATTGGTTGAAAAAACACAAAATTATCGATAGATTCCATCGTCTCTGCTTCACCGGATGATGTTTGAGTGATGAGTTTCGATGCAAACAAGACGATGGATAACACTTGCTTTAGTAGAACATAAAAAATTGATGTGTGAAGGATGATGTGTAACTGAATTGATGGCATAGTTCGTCAACACCATGAGAAAAATGGGCTTTTATGCTGGAAACGTTGTGTAAATGATGAAAATCGATTGGAAGATGTTCGCGATCTGAAAGAAAAATTGAAGAAAAAAAAGGAAAATTATTTTTAAAAAATGCCGAAAATAAGCTTAACTTAAGATGCACCAAATTTCAACAACTGAAGTTGAAATGAGTTTGCAACAATAAAAAAAAAGTAAATCAATTCAGACGAGGATATTTCATTCAATTGGGCTGATGCACCATTTGCACTTGGTCATTTCTTAGACAAATTTCTAGATGCAAAGCGAAGCGACTGATGATCGATTTTCGTGATAGACAGACAATCAACCAACAGTCGCTTGACTTGAGATTTTAGGCAGCTGCTTGTCTTGAAACATAGGATAGTCGCTTGTTTAGAGACATAGGCAATATGTTATCATTCTATCTAACTTCACTCACCTCTCAACAATGACGGCTGGCATTTGAACCAACTGTACTGGACTCTTGTTGTCCTTGAGTGCTTGTGTTAGGTTCAGAATTTGTCCACGCATCACAGCCATTTGTCGTTCAAATAAACGCTTATCGAAACCCTTGTCCTGTTTGAACAGCTCGTACAGGTCGCTGCACAGTTCCTCGACAAAATTCATGTCCGACAGCAATGGGAGCACGTGATTTTTGATAGCGTTCGAAAATGGAATTTTTGCTTGTGATAACCAGGCCCAGTGATACTGAAAAAGGAATGGGAAAATATTCAAATAAAAAATTATTCACATTAGAACATATAATAAGACACAGTCGGTATGGCGGTGCGTAAGAGTAAAATGGTCCAAAAATCCAAACAGAAGAATTAAAGAACAACTTCCAATTTATTTTTCCTTTAATCATCTAAATCCTTACCGGATAGGCACGCCACGAATCTGGATGCTTGAATGGAAAAGCTAATCCATTGTCAATGGCCGCGATTTCAATTTTAGGCAATTGAACCAAGTGCCAATTGTCCTCCATGATATTTTGTACTTTGCCATCGTCGGTCATTTGACCGATGCCACTCGACGATGGACCAATCAATTCGTTATTCGAATGCACACTGATTGCACTATCCGATGATTTGTTACTACCAGACGACATGCCGCCATTAAAATCATTGTCCAATGGTAAGTCATGCATTTGATCATCAACGGTAACCGGGTGAATATAATGATTTCGCAATGGTATCTTTGATGTTGACGAGTGTGACGATGTCATTGATCCCGGCTGTGAGTGATGATTTCGGCCTATGGTCATCAATTTTGGCTGCTCGTAACGAATCAACCAGTTGTCATTGCCACGGTCTGTGTTTCGAATTATGTAGTCTAAAACGACTAATTTTTCAAACTCAAATTGGAAATTTTCCACCACTTTTTGCGGTAATGGCTCTTGTTCGAAACGACGCAACCAGTAATCGGCATCTTTGTAACCATTCACAAACAGTTGAAACGATCCAGTCTGGAAAAAAAAATAAAGTTTTTGTTTTTAGAATTTGATGTTTGGGTTAGAGAAAGAGAATGATTTGGCTTCATTAATGATTTGTGTTAGGTTGGAAGCTTTTCCATGTGGAGAAAAGAAGGAGAAAACAGTGAATGCAAAGTACAGTACCTTTGGAGGTAAGCTCATACGATTAAACCGAGCCGATGGATAGTGTTCTTTAATCGTTTTCTTCAATTTGGCCTTCTGACGATCAATCCGAGGATAGTTGAATGTCTCCGATACTAAACGTACTACCCGCGTTTTCGGCACTATGTTCAATTTCAACTTTTGATCAACTAAACTGGCACCAGCTTCCGATAAATATCTGAAAAAGACACACAAAGAGGTATTAAATTTCGTTAAACAAGGCCAGAATTAGATTAAAATATGGATTTTAATTTTTTTTTTCAATTTTTTAAAATTATAGCCGCATAGTGGAATGATGACTTGTGTTGAACTGTGTTATAATTTAATGAATTTCTTTGGAATTTTTGCGAGTCAACAGTGTGGAAAACTCATAAAATTTTCCAACAAAAAATCCATATAAAAAATGTGCTCAAAATATTTTCCATATCAGTCAGTATGGAAGTAAGTAGATATCAACTTTACATTAAATTTGTGTTCATTTTTGGTGTGAGTCAGAATTCTATACAAAACGAGCACATTTTTTTTGTGACTAAAAAAATATAATATTTTATTTATTTCCATTCAAAATTTTATTTGCGACCATGATAAATTACATAAATGAATTTACAGTTTTTCCGTTGTGTCTCAATCTAAGATCACTTTGAAAGATTAACTATAGCAAAATATTCGTTTTATTGATAAATTATCATGAAAATAGGTAATGTGTCAATATAAATGGCCGTTGCAACGGTGAAACCAAAACAATACATCAAATATCGTATTTGTTAGTCACAACAAAAATATGCTCGTTTTGTATGGAGTTTTTGGTGTGGAATGTGAAAAGAAAGGAATACAAATTTAATGAGAAGTTTACGTGAGCCATACTGATATGGAAAAAAATTTGAGCACATTTATGGAGTATAGGTTTTTAAATCGGCAGTAAATTCGTGTTGAAAACTTCATCTCTTTAGCTTATTTTAGTGTATATTAATATTTACCCCTGATTCGGCATCAAACACGATCGGCCAAAACAACATGGACAGCATAGCTTATGCATCCACTTCATCCATTTCGGATTCAGTCGACCGTATGGTTCCTCGTCTTTGGGCTTGAATACAGCAATCTTTTTCTGTTGGTAGAAATTTAGATTTTTAGTCGAGTTATTTATTGAAATTAAATTTAAAGGCAATGACTTATAATTTAAAAAAATGAATCGTAGTAAAATAAAGCAAAAAAAAAATCAATTCAAAATTGAAAAAAAATAATGCAGTTTTAAAGAGTATCTAGGATACTTAAAGTATCATAGTTTTTGTGTGATTTCAACCAAAATGCATCGGATATACTTGACAAAACGAAGCATTCCCGTGAATAAATCAATGGTATTTTCTCTTGCTCATAACTTGTGCATCGCCGAAAAAGTGGCTTAAATCGTTTTCGTCGATGCTGATGCGCAACATGAGCTTGGATACTTTATGTAAAAGTTACGGATTGAACAGAAGAAATTTTATTGTTTTAAAATCAAGTAATTTTGATTTAAGACAATTTATTCCAATACATACAGAAAATATCATTTCAAAAGCGAAAAAACTGACGAAAGTGAAAAAAAATACAATAAATATTGAGTAGATGAAGCCTTAGAAGAAGGAGACTGTTTTCACTAATTTTCTTTCTAGGAATAGATTTAAAAAATAGATTAATTTTTCGGAAATAAAAAAAATTCCATTTTTCTTCGAAGAAATTAATTTGAGAGTTTCCTGTCCATATATTCCATCATAAAATATACTGGCACATTGGAAAAAAAAAAATATTTTAATCAATTCGAAATTGTAGCTACAAATGGGCGCTCCCAATTTTGCTATTACGAGCGTTTTATTTTTGTTATTATGACCATTTCAATGGAAGCCAAACATAAATTCGTCCACTATTTCTGTCACAAATATTCCAAAATTTTGGTTGCATTACTTACCCCGGCGGTATTTTTCACGAAATATGATCCGCTGCTACCTTGATAGATTCGTTCCGGATAAATGCCATGTTCAATGGCCATTTCGGCCTGAGAAACCAGCTCATTGAATTGTGGATCATCTAAACACGCACAAAGAGAGAATGAAATCGAATGAAAATCGTATTAAATTACACGCAATAACCAATTTAGCTCAAATTTACCATAGGCATAACTGTGATTGAATATTGTATAAATGTCAGTCATATTGATTCAGTACTAGGAAATATACTTTAATTATTGTTCGGTTGTCACGAAAGCGTCACCGCACACAATGTGACGGTACGTCAAATTCTCAAGACTAATGGAATACACACAAGCGGCGGTTATTTTTAAATTTTAAATTGAAGTCAAGCGAATCCGTTTTAAGTTGTACATAGTAATTTGTTGTTGTTTCTACTTTTGGCGATACCACACACAGAGAGAGAGCCCATTCACTTCACGTAAATCAATGGCATAGTCACGCAGTTAAACGACTTCATCGTTTGCCATTGTTTATATACTTTTTTGTATTGTTCGCAGTTCAATATGAGTCATTCAGGTGCTGATTGTCTTTTTTTTCTGTTCAATTTGGTTTCAAGCTGTTCATTTGGTTCAGCCTTTTTTTTTTAATAGATAATTTCGTTGTTCTCTTTTCAATTCTATTTTTTGTTCACGTATTTTTGGAAATAAGCTCAAGTGTTTTCTGGTGACGTGTTATTTTTGAAATTGGGCAGAATAATCGATATTTCACTTATGAAAACACACAATGTCACAATACCCAGGAAAAAATCAAACCTAATTTTAATCGATAAATTGAATTTTCGGTTTGAGTCAACGTTTGCAAGATAAACCAAGCCTTTGTTAGGAACAATAAAGAGTAACAGCTATACTCTTATGCTTCTAAATGACTTTATACTAAAGTGCTCATCACACACCATTTTCAAATGGTACAAATACGGGGATTTTCCACTCTTCTATTCCTATTCAATTGCTAGTTCAGCAAAATATTTCACATAAATTCACAAACTCGGTCTGAAAAAAAAGAGCGCAATTTTTGCGACGTACAAAATACGAATGATGGAATAGAAGTCGAAATGAAGAGAGGGTGTGTGGTCTCTTCAATGTAAATGTCTGACTTATATCGCTGAGTATGGCTTGCAATTGCTATTTGCAAATTGCGTGTTTTATAAACTGAGTGTCAGTCGTTATCTGGCGCTTTAAAAGGGAACAATAGTTACAATACGTCGGGTAATAATTCACTGCGTCCACGATATATATCGTTCTATTGTAGCAAAACTGTGTATATCAACGGAAATGTTTAATCTAAGTAGGTGAATGAAGTTCGATGCATTTTGCATACTCTATGCAAATTGAATTAGAGGTACGAGTCGGTTGGTTGGGACCTTTTTACGAATAAAAACAATTAATTTGAATCGCAAATGGCACTGCCTGGAACTACACTTTAAAATAAACCTTTTGAACGGTGTAAATCGATGACTAAATGTTTCTTTTTAAGGTTTTTTTACACTTTTTCGTCGTCGTTTAGAGGCTTATTGATAGAGAAAATCCTTGAAAACTGTGTTTTCTTCATTCTTTTTAGTTCGAACTGTGTTTACTTTCAATTTACTTCACTATTTTGCTAACACAACCAAATCCAGTCACAATTTGCACAGACCTCAACGGAAACAAAATTCTCGTACAGGTGGTTTTTTATGTGAGCAATAACTTTTGTTCGTGAACTTTAATTTTCAATAACTTTCGTTTACTTTTAAATGGATTTTCTTGGATTTTGGCATACTTTAACTGGCTTTTGCTTTTGAATACAAGTTTTAATTTTACTTGTCGAAAATATTAGTTTTTCCTTTAGAACATTGGACTTGTCTAAAAGTTTAATGTAAAAGCGCAGTGAAACTTTCATTACCACTTCTTCTGTTCTTACACTTCGATGTAGTTGTAAGTGATAGTATATTTAGTTAAGTTACTTATAAGTAACTAGTTCTTATTTAAGCCAATCCAATGATTCTCTCGTCGCCCATTGAACATTATTCAATTTCGAAATCCATGAACTAACTATAAACGATGACATCGTTACGATGTCTGATTTAAAATCTAAACAACGACTACTTAAAACCGCAAATCGTTCTATGGGCCACTTATTTACTCATCTACAATTATCTAATTGCTCGACGTAAAAATATTTTGCTTGAAAAACACTTGGATTGCAATCGATAATCGATGCAGACAACAAAAGACGATGTTTATTCGATGATATTCATAAAAGATGTATGAGAATATCGCGTGCGGGTTTTGAAAGTTGCGCACATGAAAGTCAGATCACTTTTGGCAATGACCTTGGCGCCAACACAAAATTTGTTGTAGCTCATAGGCCAAAATCGTTTCGGTGATTTGTTTATACTGTTTATTCATACGATTTGTTCACAGTGTTTCGTCGATTTGATTCGGGCTTGCATCATTCAAAACATTTACAGCTGTGATGCCAACTCACTTAATTGTCGTCGTTGTGAATGTGCACAAAATGTGAGTGAGTCAACGCGACGACAGTCAAAGCATGAATGACACAATTTAAGCACAACAACTGTCGGAATTCAAATGATTCTCGCAATTTTATGCTCGAATCGTGACTGTTCGCTTAGTTTTCTTCTCTTTTGGTTTTTTTTTTCTCTCCTTTTTTCTTCTTATTTTAGCTCTTTTCGATGTTTTTTTCTACTTTTTCAGCTTGATTTCCTATGTTCTTCTCTTTTTTTTCTTTCTTTTTTTTCTGCTGATTTTCTATTTCCTCTTCTGTTTCTTATTTCTTCTATATTTTTGGTTTCGTTTGACTCTCTAAATGCGAGCCTTTGTTGATCCTAAACAAACCCGCACAAATGTGTCGAACTTCAGCAAACACGATTTTAAACTGTAACTATTGACGGGAATCAATCGAATGACGGTGTTTGTAAAGGATTTGTACACGTTGTCTCGCTTTAACGTTGACGAATCAAACTGTGTGTGAGTGGTTGTGTGCGTTTGCTTAGTCGATTGTTTCGTCGTCGACTGCTGACAACGATGTGAATGAAATATTGATGAGTGTGAGAGAGAAGAAAGTGGTTGGGAAAGCTTTTGTGTGGAGTTAATGTGAAAATGACAGCGGCGATAGCAACAGCAGCAACAACAACAACAACAGCCGCTGCCGCATCGATGGGGTTCAGTGAGTTCGTGAATAATAAAGTGAACGCGGAGCATTCATATCGGAATATTATTTGCAGCACGTTCTGCAAACAAGACACAAAATCATAATAAAATAAAAGAGTCGTCTGTTCTGCCGTTGACAATCGCATTGTTCGTTACTTTTGTCGAGTGAGATCAAGAGACCTCACATCACGCCATCACGTGAACGGTGTTGTGCGTGAATATGAAAGCAAAACATATGTTTTTTTTTGTTGTTTTACTCAAAGTGAAGTTAGCAACGACGTGTGTTAATTAAAAACACGACATTGCAAGCGCCCAGTGCTTAGCACCAGCTTTGCATTAAATGGTGGCCATTGTGTACATTGCACTTCACATACACACACTCACCACCGGCTTCGACATCAATGGGTTTTTTTTTGCTTTTTGTATACAAAATTTTTCACACATTCATTCAACACATTAATCAGCTAGAAAAGTTCAAACGCCTATACGTAGCTAGGCTTCAATTGAATACACATTGAATGGCTTCCTGAATGCGAAAACGTATCAAGACATTCGCCAGAAAACTTTAAGTATCGATTTTCCCACAAGACGTGTAACGTATGTGTCTTGTCAACGATGACGATGGTTAAGAGGAATTTCATGTTTTGCTTTTTATTTCGATGGCCATTTTTTTTTATTGGACTTGTCGAGACACTGACGGAACGCGCTACTTAAGCGATATCTTATTACCACCGAACGTGATGCTGAATGTGCTTTTCATCATACACACACACACACCACACTGGCTTTCCACATGACAAAGCTATCAAAGTGGAAACTCATTCAATTTTATTATATCCTTCGCGAACAGCTACAACACTAAAGACAAGACTGTAGTGAAAACAAGTGGACGAGGAGAGCGCGGTAGAAGGAAACAGGAGCTGCAAAGTTAGTTACTTGCAAAACTTCACCACTTCAACGAACATTTCACCGCAAAATATGTATGTTCGCGAAATTCGTTCATCATATTTTTATATTTATAATCGTTAGCTTGGTAACTAGGGAACAATAATGGCATCATCGAATGTTCTCGTGTCAAATAATAGCCGTAATAATGGCAAACACAGTTTTCTTGAAAAACAACAACGTTTCCATTACTTCATATCAACTGGCCATACCATTCATGATAACCGACTGGCATTAAATAGCCCAAAAGTATTTGTTTTCTTCTCGAATAAACGTTACAGCAGCTTATCTAGCGGCACTATCTCATTTTTCTTGTCGATTTAACGAAGCTAGACATACCTCTAATGACAGAAGAGATACCAAAAACCAAACGTCAAGCGAGATAGAAAACATTAAAAACATATTTTCACGACTTTTTACGGCGCGCATCAGGTCAAAGGATAGTTTTTTTTTCTCACCCGGATTAGACTCTATTTTCTTGTCGGATGACTCATACTGCTATTTTATGAACTCTTGAAGGAAGTCGACGTGTTTGCTTCGACACTTCAAAGTTCTAACTTCGGAAAAAAAAACTTGTTTTGTTTCACTTTGAAATAACATTTTTTGTCTCATTTTTTTCAAAGGATAAGTAGAAAAAACAGCGGAGAATTTCCGCCGGAAATGAAATGTCGCTGCGGAAAGTTACCAGAGCAAAGCAAGTACCGTTCACTTGAGAGATTTCACTTTTTATCATCGTTTTTTGCTATTGTAATTCCAAGAAAACGTTTTCAATTCTAGACTTGATATTATTATATATGATAAAATATACATTATTTTTGAATTAAAGAGAAAGGCACAGCATAATGAGTACATGAGAACTGGATTTAACAAAACAAAGAAAAATGGTGAAACGAATAATGATAAACGTTGCCTGCTTTGGACTTGAGCAAAATATGTTTTGTTGTGATAAAAAGGACGCAAATCACGATGCTATAAATAGCGTTTTTTATATTTTGAAGGTTTCAAATCAATCAGAACCGGCTTGATAAGCACCATTTGACGATAAAATGTCAATGAAACTCTCGAAAACAAAGTGTGACTTTGTTATGGCGCTAATCTAGGGGCCAATGATGAGACTCATCAGATGAACCGTTCTTGGTTCTCAAGTAGATATTTAATGTTCTTTTGGTGCGAGTCATGCGCTTTAATTAGCTTGTGTTGGCTCTCCATTTTTCGGACAAGCATTTTGACCCATGTTGAATCACAGAAATGATTCTTTATTGATAAATGGCAATGATTAAGGCTTAATCATTAAGCTATGATTGAACTGACCGGCTCAGTCTGTCCGTTCAATATTCGCAGTCGGTCTGATAAGACATTTTTTTTTTGAATGAACGTCAACTTGCCAAAATACACATTAGATAAGAAAATGGCGATACTCATTGAGATAAGAAAAATGCCGAGCCGATGAAAATTCAAAGGGAATCAAGAACTAGCCACAATAATTTTGATTCGATTCGAATTGGCCTTTTTCAATTATCACACCATTTGTTGGTTGCTATATGATTCAAAAAAGAAAAAACAAACACATTTTTATCAATACCGAAGTTTTAGAAGAGAGAGAGAGAAAGAGAAAAAAGAGCGAGAGAAGAGGGTCAAATATCGAACAACGAATTTCTAATCAAAAGGAAATAACAACTTAGATATATATCAATGATATGATTAGTTTGCAATTGGTATATTGCATACAATATATTTTAAATGATAAAAGTGAATTCACACTCGAAACGATACACTTGATTAGAATGTGTGATTAGTGGGCACGATTTCTACTTTGATTAAAGTCTCAACCTTTCAAGGGAAATGTCTCTTTTTGATCGATATTTCTAGTAGAAGCCTTGTGCTATATCGGCGCTCTTCCAAGAGAGCAGCGCCTTTATTCGCGCTATTCATTATTCCTCTTTGAATATTTTCTAAAACTATC